TTGCTTACTTGTCTCTCCCGGTTGTTTTTCCCGCCAGTTGGTACGCGTGTTAGCTCTCTCTTTTTTTTACACAGCTCGTTCTTTTGTTTTTTTTTTTACGTGAAAGCGTTCGCAGTGTTGTGCGCGTCGATCGGCAGCCGTGCCGATTTGACAGCGGCGCCAATGCGCCGTACTTGGACGACGCCCAAACGTAATAAATTGCAAATCAGGTCATTGCTTCCCCGCTCGCGAGCGCGAGCTTAACGTTACCGGGGGAAACCCCGGTGCCGCTTGATCTGCGGGGTTTACATAGCGACTCGCATAGCGAACGCGTAACGTCCGTCGCGTCGGGTCGGGTCGGGTCGCGACGCGACGCGTCGCGTCGCATCTCGTTGGCGTCGCAGTGGTTTAGGGTGCATCCTCTCTCCGCGATGCCCCCACGACGCCATCGGCGACGACGCGACGGTGGATAAACACCACTATCCGATGTCGTCGTATATGGTTACGAAACGCCGGCATTTTCCACAGGATTAAGCGAAGCGCAGCCGTGTAATAGAAAATGCCGGTGTGTCGTTCAATTCTTTAATCCGTTCGATTAATCTTAATTTCTTGGTTCACTTTTAGTAAAACCGAAATCGTTACCAATTATATTGCTCAAGATCTCTTTCAGTCTCTTATTTTTTATTCTCAGAATTGGTTCTTCATCCTAAAATATCAGAATTTCCCTGATGCTTTTAATAATATTTAAAATTTTTTTGTATTTTCATCCTGATTTGGAAACCGCCGAATTTTTTTTAGAGATCAATTTAACATAGCAATGTAAATTATTAGATATTAATGTTGCTGGCATTGTTTGCATTTAATTGTTAAGTTGATAGTAGGTATTCTAAAATTGCGAAGGTGTGATGTACGCATATTAAACTTCTTTAAAGCCAAGGATTTTAATTTTATAGAAAACTTTGCAAAATTCTCTGACTTTTCCCTGATTTTCCTGAGTGTTTTCAATTTTCTTAACACTTTCCTGATTTTCAGTTTTGCGACAACATTGTCTATACATGTATAACATATTTCTATTATTTTATTAAAGTACCGTGATCTGGTTTCATTTGCTCCACTATTGAACAGCTTATTTGATCAGCTGTTCTATCACTTCATCTATAATAATAATGAAAGCGTAAATAGATGATGCTATGTCGATCGAAATAATAACTAGACAGAATCGAGATAGTTATAAACAGGAAACGTTTCGCAAACTATTATGAATAGCGTCTAAAAGAAGGAAAGAAATCAATTTGAAATGTTTTATCAATCTTTTTGCGACATTTTTTCTGCAAAGAAAAGAGTGCAAGATAAAACGAGAAAAACAATAGCGAAGGAGTAACCGGAGACTACTGCAGCAAAATGCTAGACATAATATTTACTCCTAACCCGACTGATCTCTTCTCTCTTCTACGGTCGACTATCTACAGTCAACAGCTTTACTATCTTGGACTGGGAAGGTCGGCCAGAAGGTCAAATAAGTACGCATTTCGAAAAAGCACCGAAAAGACGTCAATTAACAAACTGCTTTTAAACTTTCTTTAATAAAATTTGACACCAGCTAATTTAATCACCGTTGTTATTACCGAACGATATTGATCCACTATATTGTTAGTTACTACTATTCCAAATAGATAAAATAATTTAAGAGAGTGATATATTCAATGTAAGTAATGAAATTGGAGCAAAAAGTTCGAGAGCGAATCCAAATAAAATTGCGTTAAAATGTAACAGTGTTCTATAATTAAAAATTTGACTATTATTAATTTAGAAAATTTGACCATTATTTTTGTCATAGTAAGATCTCGACAGCAAGATAAATATTTGTTGCTACATTTTAAAGCTCTTATTTTTTCATTCTAACGACAGTATCAAGATTGTCATTGCGCAGCTCTTTTACCATGTATACAACCTACTCTGTATTATTATAATAACATCGACGCTGTCGTTAAGAATTACAGAAAAGGTGCTTTAATTTAGAAAAAAAATAGCAGAAAAACGTTATAACCAAAGAAGCAAATATTAATTTGCTTTTAATATACCGATCGATTTTACATATATCACGTCTAGAGAATTATATCGTATACAAAAATATACTCTATAAATCTGAATCAGTGGCTAATCACTGACATCAATCCCAATTATGCCACTGGCAATCAGTAAATTTACAGTGAAATTCAATCAGAAAATCAATGGAAGTCCTAACCTAGTTAACTTTGTTCTCGACTTTGTTTCAGTGTATAAATTAAATATATATGATATTGGAACTGATGTGCAAATATCAGTATTTCAATTACATAATTCAAACACTTTTTTTTTTTTTCAGTTGAATTTCACCGATTATTCAGTGTCAAGTATGCCATTGGAAAATCAGTGAGTACATCCACTGATTCAGATTTAGAGAGTAAAATTTCTGTAAATTATCCAGTTTAAAATTTTCAACAGCCAAAGTTCCGCCAAGAGAATATCAGAAAGAAAGGATCTCTTTGGGTAAATTTTCGACATTGCAGTCATAGCATTCCTAAGTCGCGTCGTCGCTCGGAGCATCTGTATGCACGCGAAGAAGGCGGCGGCTCGTGTGTGCTGCAATCTGGCGCGGATCGGGGGCGAGATAAGGACGGGAAGATACGCGAACGAGAGGAGCAAAGGAAGCCGCATCTTCTCGGCCTCCGCCAAAGAGCGTAGAGCAGCGTAGAGTCGTCGTCGGCGTCGGCGCGCGTGGGAATAAGGGCGGACCCGTACTACGCCGTAATCTAATTTGCGATGCAATCTAGAATAACAATGGTCCGCGTCGCGGTGGCGGCGGAAAGGAGGCAGGCGTGACGGCTGTACGAAACGCATCGCAACGTCTCGCAGACGAGAAGGAGGATGAAACTTCCGCCGACTCTCCTCGACGTAATCACGGGACCGGTAACTTCCAAATTAAGTTCCCCATCGCCCGATGCCGATGGAAACCGAAGCGCGCGGTGGACGCACCGTCGACGTCCTCGTACCCTCGGGGCTTTGCCAAGGAAAGGGCTCCGCCACCGATCGATGCTGAGATTCGGTATCTCTCATCATCGGGACGATACGTCGTGAAACGTACTGACGCATTACGCTGCTTATGCAAATTGTAACACTTACCCGTAGGAAAATTGTTTAGAGGATGTTCAGACAACGTTTCGTGAATGAAAAATTGGTCATTAACCCGAGAATAGTTACTCGGTCTTTTTTTACGTAAACGATCACCTGGCATATTTTTACATCCCAATTAAAATCACTATTATTAACAACATATTGTATATTCTTGATTATTTTCCGATTTATTAGTATTTGAAAACATGGATATGGATTTAATCACAATTTTCTGAAGAAAATAAACAGAAAAAAAATTGAAAAAATATTAAAAGAAGTAAACACATTAAATAGGTTATTAATAGTGATAGTTTCTAAAAAGTAAAGATTTTAATTAATATGATGCTTTTTCTTTATTGTGATGTGAGTTTTCAATGGAGTCGCACATTTAAAGATCCATAAAGAATAATTATTAAAAAAGAATGTTAATTAACAATTTTGTATAACAATTCACGTTTTTTCATCGCTGGGACATAAAAACATTCCAGGTGACTATTCCCTAAGGAAATGTACTAAGGATTAAAATCATCGATATTTAATAGATATTCTCTCAAAACGTTTCTTAAATAAGATTGAATAAACCGAGGTATAAACATAAATATATTTCGGAAACATATTTTTAAATATTTTTCTCGTAACCATTATTATAGTTTTCAATTTAGGTAGGGTATAGTAAAATTATTTCATCGAGTTTTTACGATTAAAAATTCAGAATTAATATCTTAAATAGTTTCAACGAGAGTAAATTAAAGTTATTAATAAATTATATCGTATTAAGTTACACACGCAAGGAATTTACTCTATGAAATATAGCAACGCTTCACAAGGTCTTTATCTGGAAACTCGCAACGAAAAACCATAATATCGATTACGGCTGCAGTGGAATCTTGTGAATCATGCTCGTCCTAGATCCACTTCGTTGTCGCACGTTATCGAGCGTTTGAAATAATTGAATCAAGGCACAGAAATAGAAGAAAAAGTGGACGAACGAGAAGTTATGTATGGCCACGAGCGTGGTCCATTTTTCTAGAGACAAGAAAAAAACGGACGCATTGGATAGATGCAGCTGTGCCGCGTTGTGATGCGGCCGACCAGCTGCCGAGATTAGATATCAAAAGCTTTTTCTTGAATAGCCTTCGACATTCCACGAATCATGTAATAATCTGGTTGAAGGTCGACAGTGTCGATAACCACCTCCGCTGGATAGGAAATCGCACTTCCTCGCCTCCCCCTCTCATTCTGACCTCCGCGTAACTGTCTATTGCCTGATGAGAAAGGGAAAAGAAAAAAAAGCGCTGACGATAGCGCGCGTGTCTTTTCGATTCGTGACGCGTGATATCAGGAATGTGTAATGAGACCGGATTGTGATTGTTCAGAGAAATGCGACAGAAAATAATGAGAAAGAGAGAATTGTTCCGGGGAGAATGCGGGGGATACGACGTTTGTCGCGACTCGTTCGAGCCGTTATTTGTAAAGAAGCTATTCGACGAACTCGGTCAAGTCTGCTAAAATTAGTACGACGTATACAGTTTCAACGAATATGCGGAAGTGTGCTTCGGTTTTATTTCCAACAGCTTCGAGATATATGTGATAATCTGCATATAAATTCATCAGTAACGCAATGTATTGCTAATTCTCCTGGTTATCATAATAAATTTGTCTTAATGTTCCCCAATGTTAGATATTTCAACAGCGCGCGCGTATAGAAATAAATATTTTTTAATTGTATAATTTTTCGTCCTTTAACCATACCAATGTCGCGATGTATACCTACTCATATATTCACTGAAATCAAGTTTTTCTACATTCTTCGTAAAAACGTAATTTCTCAAAATTTCACGTATTCTCAATGATCAGATGGTACTCACGGGTGTATCAGGATAACGATAATGATCTTGTAGTAGAAGACAACGCTGTAACGGCGGCGGCGGTGGCTCCTCACGACGATAACGGTGACGATGATGATGATGCCGATGATGGTGATGGAGAATGGAGGCAGAAGCGGAGGAAGCAGAGCCGGGAGGAACCGGCTCATGCACCAACAGCCGACGATGATGAAGATGACGCGATATCGTCGCCAGGACACCCACCAGTGCTCCGACTATCAGCACGAGCGCCGCCGAGACGATGTAGCCGCTCGCACCCACTGTAACCGGAAATCGGATACCGCGATTGGTCAATAGATCGGAAACTCCGTCGTATGTAAATCATCGTAACTTTTGCATTTATCTGTTATACGTGTCGCAACTGTCGTGATTTTTTAAAGAGACGAAGCAGAAAGATAATGCTATCGTTAATGTGAAAATGAATATTTAAAGGATGTGAAAAAACGTCGGTGAGTTGTTATTGATACTCGAAGACATAATCTCTCTGGAATATTTACATTTTTTCTGCGTCGTATTATTTCATGAAAATTTTTTAAATAGTATAAATATATATAAATAAATAAAGTTTTAAATTAATTAAAATACATATTTTTCTTCATAGTGGTTTCACGGAATAAAAATTCTTTTTCCACGATTAAAATATACATGCTTAATGTACTTGTCGCTGGTGTATTTTGTGTTCAAAGACGGAAAAAATAAAAAAATTACAGATTTCTTTATCCATTTTACTTTCAGCGTTGGTCGCCATACTGAGATAAAAATGGATAAAGAAATCTGTAATTTTTTATTTTTTCCGTCTTTGAACACAAAATACACCAGCGACAAGTACATTAAGCATGTATATTTTAATCGTGGAAAAAGAATTTTTATTCCGTGAAACCACTATGAAGAAATTCGATAGGAACAAAAAACGTCAAAAACGCTAGTTTTAACGATAATACAGGTGGCTCCAGCATCACCTTAATTACAATTAATTTAAAACTTCATTAATTAAGAATATGACGTCATCCTTTTCGTATAATCCATGCGGCATATTTTAATTATGTACATGTATATCTATCAATGTAATAAAATCAGTAATAAAATCATTAATAATGCATTATGCATAAATGAGATTGGCATACTTTAAATGGTAATGCAAATAAAAAAGATAAGCTTTTTACTTATAGAAATGAACTATATAAAAGCATAAAGATATCATCTGTCTCCTTGAATCATGCGTGATGTCAAGTCTTGTTAGAACTTAAACGCGAGTAATGCCCTGCGTGCAGTTTGTCGAGTCAACACACAAATCATTGACACGTGGAAATGATTAGATGTCATTTTCCGCAATCTTGTTAGTGCCAAGGACTCGAGAGCGTAATCGTACTAGTAAAGATACATTTCGCGCATTGTACGAAGAACGTCGTGCAAAAGTCATCATGTTATATTATTTCATCAGAATGCAGTTAGATATAAACCTTGAAACATACGTTACACTATACGATAGTAAATTTATCTATTGCTAGAGAGGCTAATTGGTCAATAATTAATATTTGATTACACGATATATTTATTTAAATTGGACTCCGAATGAGGTATTAAATAAAAGTGACAAGATTTTGTTTTCTTCTGATATTATACAATTTCCTTTAAGAACAATTTCTCATAACAAGACTCAAGTCACATATTTTAACAAGTCACATATATTTACTGATATTAATAAAGTTAATTAATTCACCGATTACTAAACTTCTATTCTCGAAATAAAAATTTGATCATATATAAAATAATTTTAGTGACAAACAATTTTTTTTTAAATCTCAATATTTAACTCATCTCAATATTAAAAGTTTCCCAAAACAAAGTCAATATGGTTCAACAATTAATTCGACCGTTAAAAGATAATGATAATGTATTTTAACTAAAATCTACAATTTTTACACATGCTATTAAAGGATTAATAAAAATCGGTGGATTTAAGAAATAACTAGAAATTACACAAGATTTTGGTAGACTTATGAAAAGGATTTCCATCGCGATCCTGAGATCCCTTTTGAGCATCGTACGAGCAGTCTGATCGCGAATCGCCGTTCGGCATCGCGAACGTCAACGCCGGCAGGTGCACCGACGACCGCATCTTCCTTCCCCCCGCGTACTTCTCCCCCGACAATCACCTCTCGCTAGCGACTGCGGAACAGCTTGGGTCTCCGGCTTCGTTCGACGGCCTCCATCGCTTCCTTGTTCTCCTTCTCTACCGCGCGGCAGGGACACGCGTGTCCGTGCGCGTGTCTCGGCTCGGGGAGATACCGCCCGGATGCGGCGCGGCGAAGGACCGATGACGATGAGATTGAGAACAGGGGCGGCGCGAACGTTCGCCAAATCGGCGATTTAATTTTGACCAAGAGATTTCAAAAAATTAGATAAAGTATTTTTCATTCACTTATGCGAGACGATTGGTGTCATTGTCGAATTATTTTGGTAGCAACACCGAAGTTTTTTTTTTTTAGAAAAATTATTACGCACGTACAAATCGTGCAATTCCAAGATAAAAATTAATTTAAAAAATATATTTGTTTAATTCCAGTTCCGACTGCAATTAAAAAAAATGGCTTTGATATGCTTCATGTTTCAATATCCTTCAAATTTATATTAGATTCTTCTCGATAGGAAGAGAAAGTTTCAGGAAAACATTTGCTGACTTGGGATTTAGAGAAAAACTTGTGAAGTCAAAAACTGGAAAAATACAAATAATTTATAAATTTCTTTGCATTCTTCTTCCTAGATAAAATTTTACGAGAGCAAATCAATAAGTACCCGTGTTTGAAAACAGGCAGTGTTGCTGATGCAAGTTGGCATTACCATCGTGTGCTACTCTTTCAAACGATGCCATACAAAATTTCAGAATGATTTATGCTATAATTTTAATTTGACAGCAATTCGTAGTGAGCGTGTTTGGTATTTTTCGACATAATGGAAAAAGAGTAATATCGATCCGTGATTCGCTTTTTATTTTTGGATGAAATTTTTTTGAACATTGGATGAAGTATTTTTGAACGAAGTTTTTATTTCCTCGCACATTTTTCCATCCAAAACTAAAAAGCGAATCACGGATCAATATTGTTCTTTTTCCATTGTATCGAAAAACACCAAATACGTTCACTACGAATTGCTGTAGAATCAAAACTATCCCATGAATCACTCTGAAATTTTGTATGGCATTGTTTGAAAAATGGTAGTACACGATGCCAACTTGCATCAGCAGTACCGCTTGTCTTCAAACACGGGTACTTATTGATTTGCCCTCGTAAACACCTATATTTCAATTGTAATATAAAAACTCTCGATTCTTTTTATAAGAAATTGAATTAATACAAATTATGAAAATATATTCTCTAAAATCTTTGGAATGAAAAATTCTAAATTTTTAATTCTAAAGAGTGACAAAGAGTGACAAATGAGCCAGTGTTAAAAGAGAGGTTCAATTGTCAATTTTCAAGAATAAGATTTCATTCTTTAAAGTTAAATTTCACTCCAATGATTTTAGAGAGTACCGTGAACATATATTTGCAATTTATATTCTACAAAAGAAATGTTTTGTGCGTTTGCTACATCGAAGATAAGATATAATATCGAAAATATTCAGCATCGACGCTTTGCAAACGGAGCGTCATGAGAATGTCTACTCACACCGGCCCTGATTGCGAGCGAGAGTGCGAGCGGTCACGACGAGAGATTGACAGAGAGAGAAGGGGGCGGTGGAGGAGGTGGTACGTCGACCGAGGTGAGGAGGAGGCGAGGTGAACTGTGCAGAGCATGCGGTGCACCAGACAAAAAACGATGAGACGCGGTGGGGGCCAGACGGGGGGCAAAAACACGCGACGAGGCCCAGAACCCAGGCGCTGCGGGCCCCTCGTTTGAACGACTCTCCCTCTCTGTCCTTCCTGCTCGCTACGAGCGCACGATGCTGTGTATGTGCGCGCAGCGTATGCACTCCGCGGCTTCACCGAGCGCATCCACGAGTATCGCGTGCATCGCGATAGAAAGGACGAGTTTGCGATTGTTTGTTGAACTACGGATGTTGAAAAGAGGAGTTAAATAATTGCTCGATAAAAATATATGTATTTTTTTTTTTAATATTTTTTTATTCGTACTTGCGATTATTTCTTGGAAATATTTTGTGCTTGTCTCTTTCGAGAATCTTTAGAAATCGATCTATCAGTATTCGATAAGAATGATGATAATGTCGAAAAATAGATAAAATTCTCTAAAAGCTTTATGTAATATTGGAATGATAAAAAAAAAATTTCGCTACGATGGCATGATGATTTTGAGATTCGTTCAAGTCAACACACGAGATATCGACAACATACCGTGTATGTATATTCCCTTAGGAATGAACCGACGTAGAACGGCGCGGCTATGAGGGTCCTCTGTCTTATCTTGAGCTTTCTTGCTCTCTCTCTGTTATCACCGCCGTACGGGTTCGCCGCTCTTTGTGCCGAGTCTCGAGTGCCGCCTATTTGAAATGCCGCGAGACAAAGAGCGCATCGCTCTGCATTCACTTGGAGAAGAAGACTAGCGCAGGCCTGGACGAGACAAGGTGTGCCTCGTACGAGGATAGATTGGAAAATAGAATCGGATAATAGGCATGGATGGTAACGAGCGAGAGGGAGAGACAATACGCCACCGTCGTGATCTACGAGTTAGGGACTGCGAAGTAGACTACGCCGATCTGGCACGATCTCACTGCTCATTATCTTCGCAGTAAACTGAAGTACGAGACACTGAGTGCTTTCCATTTGGTAATACAAATCGACACAAGTGACGTTCTATCTTTGTCACCTCTGCGATATCAAGAAAGATAAAACGATGTTTGTATCACTAAATGGAAAATACCTACTCATAGATTTCTTTTGACTTCGAAAATATTGATTTATGAAAGTAATTCGTGAAAGACTCACATAGTGATAATTCAAGAATTCATGCCAGATTACATTCATAAATTTTTTGGTGATATTTTATAGGATTTCCTATCGCATTCTATCGTTTTTAATTTAATGACAGCTTCTACAATAGATTTTAAATCAATTACTCGCGGATAAAAACGTCAAGCCGCTAATATTTTGTGAGTTATAAGCGAACAAGATTGATGTTTCAAAGGAGCGAGTAACAGCGAGTATTTCCGTCCAACGAAGAGTGCCAATCACAAGAGTGTTTAATTAATGCCTGATTGCAAAATTCTCGATGTGGTGGTGGTACACGACGAAGACAGGTCGCG